AATTGGGACCCTGTGTACATAATTTCGCTCCACCACATGTACCACATGAGGTGCGATTGACAATAAAAAATCTCTGAATCTGACTCTCTGACTTACAGAATCACTGAGTTATATTCAATTTTGTGTTTGCTGAGGTAGCTGTGACAACCATCTTGAATCAAAATGTCTCCAAAAATTAATCACTACATCTGATGATTACTTTCTGTAAGTTTAAAACAAATGCAACAGTGACTTTCTAAATTTTCTTCAGGAAGTTCTTCACTCTGTGACCTCACAGCAGCAATTAGTGTGAGAAGTGTTCTGTCAGGTGTGTTGTATGGGAAAATGGCATCTTCATTTGCAATATACGTCATCATGGTAACTTGAAAACACCAATAAAAGTAAGAGCACACATCACGGAGCCAAGCCGGACGTTTTGATATAACATTTGTGGGGATACAGGTTGCGGTTCGGGCCGTATTAAAGTTGAAGGAAGACCAAGATATAAAATTAAGAAACCCATGTTTGGTGGATAATAATAGGTGGCTGCCTTACTAGGCAGTCCCCAATAAGATGGTTCTTTTTGTTATTTTGGTCTTGCTCCACCTGATGTTGGTAAGACTATGTTTGCTAAAATATCTACCACTTGTAAATAAATCACAATTTTTATTTGCATTCTGTCTCTGTGGCTGCTTGAGTTGTGCAGAAGATGGAACACTTTAATTTTATGTCCTGGCCACTCCTACGTGGGTGACTAAGAACCTGATTTCCTTTTACTGTTTTCCTGTTCTCTGTCCCATGGAACTGAGTGCACTTTGAACCAATCAGTCAAAGAGAACAATGACTGGGAGGTTGTTGCTATTTTCCCACTCTAGATTTCAAAGGAATTTCAAGGCAGGAAACAAATAATTTTTCTATGGAAGGCTGTAAAAGTGATTTTAAAAAACTAGTTTATGGCCTGAGTAGATAAAAAGGTAACTTCATAAATAAACAAGAAAACTTGTTTTCCCATGTTACCAAGCAAACTTTGTTAGTTATTTCTCAAGAACTGCATCAAGATAAAGTGAAACCAAAAACTCAGATAGTAATTTGGAACAATAAGTAATTTTCCTATTGAGTGAACTTAAACATTAAATACTTGAATTGTATGTGAAATAGAGCTGTCATTACTAACCCGAACCCGGAGCCCGGCCCCACCCAACTGTATTAGAGCCAGGCCATGATAATGTGCTTAGTGTGTGGGCCGAGCCAGTGTCAAGCTTTTTATTGCATCAGCAGGCGTGTGCGGCTGACGATCCAAATATATGGCAAGATGGTTTGCCAAACATTCACTTGTCGCACGTGGCCATTTGACTGCATGCTGACTGGCCTTGAAAGAGGTTAAAAAAAAAAGTTCAGTTAAAGTAAAGAAAGGCATTCAAACAAGTGAGACATTTTTGTTCTTTCCTTTAGAATATGGTGGTGTAAATTAAAAAAGATTCAACTGCACTCAGCGGAAGCGCGCGGCCGACGACCCAAACAGGTGAGATTACAAAATATCAGACATGTCAGAGCAGGGTCCGTGTCTGAATAATGCAGAATGCAAGCAGAAGCAGGGATTTAATGTGCTTTGACGGTCATGAAAGGACAAACATCCCCTCAGGTCCAATCTTCTGCCCTGTCCGCCGACCGTTAATAACTATATAAGCAGTAAAAGATTAATTAACAATGTCTGGGGGGTTGGGGGGTTGGGGGGGTTCAGGTTCGGACCTGTAATTACTGTTAATCTGTCTGGTCGGTTGAGGTTAGAAAATTATGGCTACGGTCTGGGGCCGGGTCGGATGTTTTGGGACTGAATGCAACTTGTGAAGGTGTTCGACTCCTCTATAGAATCATTACTGTAACATGGAGAGTGTCTGAGTACTCCTATGATTTTAATGGGGTGCCCCAGGTAAATTCTTCCAAGGTAAATTAGCCTGACAAAACTGGTATGATTAAACGTGGTTTAAAGACCTTGATGTTGGGGGACAGCAGGATACCTCACCCAGATTAAAGAAAACAGAACAATGTTCAACCAGTAATGATCAAAACAACCTTTATTATCACTTTAGCTGCACATGCAGTGGTAGTGGAAAAAAAAAAATCTCACTGGGGATCCAATAAAAACAATTACATCCTCAAATCTACACGCTCCTCCTGCTCACTCCCATCCCCAAAACCAATATGCACACATCCCTGAGCCACTTAGGCAGTAAAGTGCCTACTGGAATAATAAGATATGAATATATCATACATAATGGGTTGAATAATTAGTTTGGGACATGCCAGATAATATTTGACAGCCTGACAGCATGTGGCAGGAAGCCGTTGATCATTCTTGTGGTTCTGCCCCTGAGGCTTTTTGTGGTACACACAGACCCTAACCCATTAACGTTTCTTGCATTGTCCAAACAGCAGACTGATGCGATAGTTTCTGTTATTGTAATCTTTGTCCTGGACGTTTGGCGCACTAAAGGCACTGAATAGATAATTGTGGATGCTTTGTCAAGAGCATGTTGCTCTTAAAGTAATTTGCATCCTCATCTCTATTTTCTCGTTTCCTCCATTTTTTTTTTTAATTTGCTTCTCCAGGCAACAAGATTTGCTGGTTTTCAGAAGAAGAATGGTAGGTTCACTGAGAGTCATTGCAGTAATGGTGAGGATGGTTCACTGTTGTGGAGACCAAGTCTTTAAAGTCTTTTGTAAATTTAACCATGGCTTCCAAGGCTCTAACAGTAATCTCTAAGAACAATTCCATTCTGCTTGTGTCCAGTTCACAGCACCTAAACAACTCATCAAAATGTCCAATGAGTTCCTCACAGCTGCTCACTCTGGACTCCTCTCCATCCTCATCCTCCTCTATTTAGGTGTATTCTTTGACACCATCTCACACATCTCTCATGGACATTCTTGCCATTTTACCTATAACATTTCATTGTTATGCACTAATGATCGATTGTTTGACTGATGGTCCTCCATTTTGAATGTGCAAAGCCATGCTGCCTGGGAACTCCACAGCAGACTGGTTTGAAACACATCAAAAAGATGCTACTTAATATGACGAACCCGGTTGGCAGGCCTCAGACTGATGAAGTCTTTCGGATGAAAGATAAAACGTTTCTTCCAAAAAATAAATTGTCCAGATGACATGAATTACCAGTAACGTTTTGGTGGTCTTTCTTTGATATTGATATTTCTGACACACCCCTAACTAGCTCATTTATTATCTTTCTGATTGTACACAGAATTTCAATTAAATTAATTTCATCCATCTTCTCTCTGTTCTGGTGTTCTACAAGATTCTGTCCTCAGACCACTATTTTTTAAAATCATCTTCCAAAATCATAACATCCAATTCCACTGTTACACAGATGACACCCAGCTCTATCTGTCCACCACACCCGCTTCCACCCCCACCTCCCACCCACCTCACTTTCTGACTGCTTACATAAAATCAGATCCTGCCTTTCCAATTTCCTCAAACTGAATCGTGATGAAACAGATTCTTCTCCTCTGCAACAAATCCACCCAGTGACTCTATACTCACTGACAGCACCCCCGTTTCCCACCCTCTCCCCAGGCTAAGAGTTTGGGTGTCATAGACATCATTCTTTCAGCCTACATTCACCTCCTTTCATTCCGCTCACCCAACAGTACTGCTATTCTGGTTCACTGGTTGTTCACATTCTATTATAACTGTAGCTCCCTGTTTACCCACAAAATCAATCTATAAACTCCAACTGGTATAAAATTCTGCCATCCACATCATCTCCAGACTCTCTTCCACTTGTCATATAACACTTGACATGCAGCAGATTTACTGGATCCCTATTAAATATCACATTTCACACAAAATTCGATGGCGCAGAGGCCAGAGAAGGTGGGCCTGTGATCGGGAAAATCGCTGGTTCAACTCCTAGTACTGACAACATCAGAATGTAGGTGGGAAAGGTCAAACACCCACACCTGTCTCCACCCTCATTTGACCCACCCTGGCCCCTTGAGCAAGGCCCTCAATCCCCAACATATGCTCCCCCGGGCGCCCTAGATAACAGCTCTCTGCTCCACACAGAGGGCTGTGGCAGCTCGGTGGTCTGTGGTTGTGTCAAGAAGGACATCCGGTATAAAAACAATGGCCAAGTCTTCGTGTGAGTTTGTTCGCAGTGGCGACCCCTGAAGAAGGGCACAGCCGAAAGAAGAAGAATACAAAATCCTGCTTCTCACCTTCAACAAACTTGTCCCTCAGTATCTCACAGAACTCCACATCAGCTCACCTAACCACATCTGACCGCTCCCTTACTCCGAAACTATCTCCCCATGGACAACAAAAACTCTCTCATCCTCTCCATTTTCAAAACCCGCATCAAAACTAAATTCTTCAAACAGATAATCTAACCCTCTTTGTTTTCCTTCCTTAGATAGATAATTTTTACTTATTGGCTTTCGTATGTATGTGAATGTTTTTGTTCAGTGCCCTGAGACAACTTCTGCTGTGATTTGGCGCTTTATAAATAATAACATGAATTGAACTGAAGATGTGACACTAGCAGCATTTATTTTATAATTATTTATTCACTGTTGACACTTAATGTCCATCCTGATATTTTATTTTGTGTTTTACTGCCTGTTTTACATAAAACATTAAAAACTGTGTTTTTAATTTATGGTTTCCTTGAGTGCCATGAAAATCAAACAAGCAAAATAAATTATGACTAAACTAAAAAGAGGCACCTCATGAAGTGAGCAGTTTGGTCTTCCACATCCATCTCTTTTGTCATGCTACAACTGTCCCACCTAATATTAAAGTTTTACAGACTTTTTTCTTCTTTTAAAGGAGTGGCATATGTCACAATATTTATCATTTAACAGTACAACCTGAATGTTCTTTTAAGCGTGACAGCATTATGACAGCATCAATCATCAGCAGTTTATGAGGGAAACCCTGTCAATAATTTCTAATTCATGCAGTAATGGGACATATCTGTGTGTACATGTGCACATATATATTTATACAGCTGTAGAAAAGTGGTGGCTCTGCCCTTTATATCTGTTTGAGCACCAGTGGAGCCACAACTGCAGGGAACCATAAAGGTAGGATGTTTATTTCTTAACTGAAATTATCATTTTTTTACTTTCACTGTAAAATAGATGACAACACTTGTACAAAAAAACCAACAAAAAAAACACGGTGCTGTTTACAAGTATTTCAATTTGGTACAGATGTTTAAATAAATGTTAACGTTTGCCAATATAACGTATTTAGATAATTTAAATTAATTGACAATTAAAAAAAACAATTGTTGTTAGGTATTTACTGATCATTCTTTTTCTTTATAATTTAGGTGTTGAGATTTTTTTTTTATCTGACAAAACATAATAAAAATATAATTTTAATTATTAAATTTTACAATAAATAAAAGCAGGAAACAAATGCTAAATTTAGCAGAATAAAAACGATTCTGAAAAATATATTAGAGTTTTTAGATCTCTGTTTTCCTTCTAATTCTTGAAAAGAGCAACAATTATGTTGGCAATGAGCCTGTGTGTGTTTTATTTTTATTAATTTGTTTTATCTCCATTTACTGGAAATCTTTTAGAGCTAGAAATACAAACCATGAAGTGGAAAGCTGCTTATCTCATCTGGCATTTATTTCCCATTTTCCCTAAAAACTCTTTCAATTTTTTATTTATTTATCTGGGACACTCTTTTGCAACATTTTACTTTCATTCAGTTAGAAATTGTTGATGGGTAATTTGCCTTATTCTGATGTCTTTTTTATAAATGTCTGGACAGAACATGAGGAAACAACTCCAGCTGAACTTTCAGAAAATAATATAATCGTAATATTTATCTCTGTAGAGACTCCATGGCTTCCTTGATGGATTTTGCCCTGCTGGCTTTGGCTCTATCAGCTCCCACTGTGGCCTTTGCTCCAATCGGGGGAGGTGCATCCACCCACGTCAGCATCACAGGGACGGCTCTTCTGCAGAAAGTCACAGAGACGTGCCGGGCAGTCGCCGAGGCAGCTGGTCATGAGTTCAATCCCACGGTACAACAGAAGATAAAGCAGTGAAATCACCAATATAGTCATTATAAAAAGGAAAAACAAATGGAAAAACACTTTAAATACAAACACAGGCATCTTTATTTTAGAAGGTTTAACAACAGACTGTTACGTCTGAATCACTTTGTGATTATAGTTTTTTAATGTTAAAGAGATAATGAGAAACACATCTAAGGTTAAAAGGAGTATTTTAGATTTGAACACCAGTGATTGGCTCCTTTTTTAAGCAGATTTATTTTGTAAAACTAGGCTCCATTCCATCAACATTAGGTTGAACACGTTACAGCTGTTGATCAAAACTGGAGCCAAAGTGTTTGGATCTAAGGCGCCGCCATATTTCATCTTTGGAACCAGAAGCTGCACGCTCAGCATGTGGGGCTGTTCCCTCAATAAAAAAAAGATCTACTTACACGTCCTCCCAATCCATTTGTTTAAAACTTTGGCACCAACCACAAGGATTCACGTTTTTAGAGAATGCAACTTTAATTTTCTGAAAGTTTTCCTCTATTAGGACATCAGCATTTATTTCCTGACATACACACAAAAGCAGTGTAGCCCATAACCTCACCATGTGAAAAGCTTTCGGACATGAACAGATGGACAGACAGAAAGAACAATAGACAGACAGACAGTCTTGGTAGGTAGGTGGGTAGGTAAGTAAGCAGGCAGGCAGACAGGCAGGCAGACAGACAGATACAGTTAATCAGTCAGTCTTGGTAGGTAGACAGACAGACAGACAGACAGACAGACAGACAAAGTCTTGGTAGGTAGATAGGCAGACAGACAGAGACAGTCAGCCAGTCTTGGTAGGTAGACAGACAGACAGACAGATAGAGTCTTGGTAGGGAGAAAGACAGACAGACAGACAGTCTTGGTACAGACAGACAG